CTAATAACTTTGATCAAAACACTGATGTCCCCTTGACTAATCAGTGTGAGCACACAAGTGCTGCCAAGAGCAGTTCTTCATTTGGACAAATGGGTTTTTGGCTGAATGTGCTGGTGAGCTGTGGTGTGGAAGTTTGGGGACACTTTGATCTGTTATACCTTTTAATCAAAAGAACTGCAGGGAACTGTGGGAAGTCCATACCAACTGGCTAGAACAACCTTTAAAAACACAACTTTACTTCTGTTACACACTGGAAATGCCAAGAATATTTGATAAATAGCATAAACCTATTTAAGATTGCTTCTTAGATGCATTGCACAGGGCTGATACAATCAGTACTCAGATTTTATTTAATCCAAATGTAACCAAGTGTACCCAAATTGCATAGTGGATTGAAATAATTAAAAATCATATGGTATATACACCAATCCTGGCAATGAAATAGTGATAGCAGTAGAGAATCAGTGTCACTGCAAACAATGCCACTTCTTTTCTTCAATGTGCAGATGGTGGTTTAGCTCAGTTTGCTTAATACAACTTGAAAAAAACTGCTGAGGACTCGAGGTTGAGCCTTCTCCTCTTCTAGGGTCACTGTGAGGGGATTAAAAGCATTGGTTTCCTGTTTCCTCTTCATTTTTTATCAGGACTGACACAATTTGCACTTTCTGGACTAGGTATGGACCAGGACACCATCTGTTGTTGGAATCAATGCATTTCTGAGCCTGCAGTATGACTTGTAGAGTTAAAAAAATCATTTGACTGCATGCATCCATTTGAAAAATGTGCATGAAAAATGTGTACTTTTGAAAAATGAGTATGAACATTTTAATTCATGGGAGGAAAATCTGTATATTTAAAAATGTACACAATGGAAAAATGTGTACATTCAGGGAAATGGATGTAACTATGCACAGGTTTTCATGGAAAAGGGAAAACAATGCTCATAATCTGATAAAGACATGAGATGGAATAAGCTTTCAGGTAGAATTTGGAAAACTGATGACTTTGAGTTTTGCTGAGTCACACATCCCTCATGGTTTATTCTTAAGTTTGAAGATGACAAACTATTCTAAGTTTAAACCAGGAGCGTCAAACATTTTTCAGCCCATGGCCAAATGTCAATTTGGGAAAAGTTTGGGAGAAGCATTCCAGGAGTGGGTGAGCCTGTGGGCATGGAGTGGGACCAAGAACAGAGAAAGCAATGCAAGCAGGGCAAGATGTGATCTGTACTAATTTGGATGTTCTCTCACCAAGCATAAACAGCACAGCTCAGTCCTGTGCATGTCTACCCAGAAGGATGTTCCACTGCAGCAGCTGTCCTGCCTACCAGACCGCACAGCTCAGTTCTTTCTGGGGCCTCTCTTGCCTACAAAGCACAACTTCATCCCTTGCAATTAAAGGTTAATTGTCTTTAAATGCTTCTTAGAGCCAACCACTGATAAGAACAGCAAAAGAAGCTAGTAGGCCAGATGGGATGGAGGTCCCACATCCTTGGTTTAAAATACAGTTCATTGAAAAGGGTACAGGTTTCTAGTCCTGGCTTGTTAATGAACAAGAACTACACTGTAGTTCAGATGTGATAATAAACTGCAGTCACTGTTAAACAGAAAGCAATTTCCATCCTCACAGCCAAGCTGGAAAAGGAAAAGGTGCATAAAACTAAATCCTGAGCAATCACATTTAAATAACACATCTAAACTGGATCATAGACTATCACTGCTTTCTCCATGTACAATATGATAGCAGGGAGAGGGATTTTTTTTTTTTTGGACAACAATGAAATGACTAAATTGTTCTTTATAAGCCATAATTATTTAAATGCTTTGTAGGCTCATTCCAAGCAACCAATTATACTTTAAGAGATTATCTTCAGAAGTTTTACCCAGCATGTTCACATTCTGATAACTGAAACCAGAGGTCCATGAATGGGATAGTTTCTGGCCCACAAATGCTGAAGGTGCAATTTGTATTCAGAAATTCTATTTGAAGTTGTCCAAGTGAGGCTTTTCAAGCAAGTGCTGCATCTTTCTCCAGATGCTTCTGTATATTCTTAATTCTTCATTCTAGAGAAGACTACAGATACCTGCTCACTCTGTAGCCAATGCAGGTCATAGACTGCTCTCTTTCTCAGTGTTTGCCACCCTGTTCTTTTTGCTTATTCTTACCTTGTGCCAGGTACAGTGGCCCCTGTTTATCACCCCATCACATACTAATGCCTGAATCAGCTCTTCAGGAGACAGCATTTTCCCACGGTGACTGACAAGCAGTGCTCTTTGTGGCCGGATGGATTTTCTGTCTGTCTCTGTCACTGGCTCTTTCTTTGTTGCTTTTTCTCTTTATACACCTACTTGTCTCATGTTCTGTTCTGCCTCTGCCCTCTACTCTCAAAATCTTTTCCGCCAGACTTTATTTAAGTGACTGCAATTTCCAAAACCCACACAGTAGGAATTACTTATTTTTTCCACATTTATTACCTAAATGTATGTCTTTGTACACACATTGAGGTTTCAAGAACTGGCTCTCAAAATGTAGTGCCCTGTAGGAGGTATATAAAGAAGGGCCTACCCTGAACAATGGTAGACAGACAGTCTGTATATCTAGAAACAAAGAAAACATGTAAGCCCCATGTTTTTGTGCCAGATGTGTATGTCTCCAGAACTTAGCATACATGCACCAAGGGTCAGGGGTACACATAGTTCGGGAAGAAATTTAAACTGTATAAAAAGGCCCTTCCTGTAAATTTTAGGAGTACTCAAACTTTGTTTTAGAATTGAACAGTCCAAAATTGCAACAATCAACAGTCCAGAGTCAGACAAAGGGCAATTGTTGGCCTCTTGTACCAGATACAGTAAGCCATTTCCTTCCTTTCCTCCAGGAATGATGGAGAAGCTACTAACATGTGGCACAACATACTTAACAGAGAGAGGGTGTGATCAGAAGGTATTTGTTGGGTCTCCTGGGGAACCTATTTGTAATATGCTTCTATTTATTCTTTTCATTGTAGGGGCTGTAATATTCTGCCTAAGAATCTTCAAGCTGGAGAGGCAGTAGGTTATACAATAGACTTTATTTTTCCTTTGTCAACTCTTTTCAGATTCCTTTGCTCTCTGAAGAGCCTTGCATTCTGGACTCCAGTGGTTTAGCAAGAGCTCCCAAATGACCATTCAGAGAGTGGCAAGTACATTTCATTCCTGTTGTTGCTATGAGTTTAAAAGGCAACACTGGGCATGCTCAGAGTGTTTTCAAATCAGGGTTGGCAAATGGTTTTGTTGTTGTTCTAATGTATTAGGAATGTAAACACAGTTTTGATGCATGGAAGTATACTGGGGAAGAGAAATGTTGGTTGTGTGTTTCACAAACAAAATAATATATATGATTATTAAAAATGAATCTACTCAAAACAATTGAGTCAAGGGTACGTATAAACTGCTGGATCCATTTGCCACAGAGCAGGACTGTCTGCGTTGCCTGACATTTTGAATCCATGGGGATTAGGAACCCTCAAGCAGTTGTGGGTCCAGGCCTCTAGATTTCATTTTTGCTAACAGTACATGCCTGTGTGCACTCAGAAGAAAGCTCCACTGTGCTCAACAGAGCTTTCTCCTTAGTAAGTGCATTCAAGCTTTTTGCCTCAATGTACAAAGGATCAAATAGCAATCACCTTGTTCTCTGAGTATCTCACCTTAACAAACAGCTCTCCTCTGTACCTGCTACTCCAGTGAAGAGAGCTTAAGCACTTGCCTAAGTAGTGAATGGGCTGCTGGGGGAGGGAGCCTAACAGATGTACGTATAATTTGTGGTCAGTTGCACTGGCCTGCTGCAGTCTTGCTCTGTAGCAAATTGGGTACTGCAAGACACAAGCTGTTCCTGTTCCGTACCTGGTGGTTTTGCCTTTCACAGAGCAGCCACTTGATATGGGAGCGAGCGGCATGCCTTGGCACATTTGTTTTGTGTGGAATGAAGAACATCTTGGGAAGAGAGAGAAATAAATCACTGTGACTCCCTGATCCTCCACCTGTGCCTGTTTCATCGGAGGAGTGAGATATTTCTCAGACTCAGGTCGAATATCCCTTTCTGAAACTGGCTTTGTTGAAGTGACATGTGATCAGTCGATGCTAATCTTCTGAGCAGCTCCTGAGTGGGATCAAAGGCGCGTACACACACTGCTTAAGTCAGTCGACCATGATTTTAACGGGACGCGCCCGTGAGGCTGAGACAATAGGACGGGAGGGGGACGTTGCGTGGCTTTCGCCGCCTTCCCATCTTGCGCCTACAGCTAAAGCGTGTGGGTTGAGTATTGCATGATACTGAGATGCTGCTGCGCTCAGATCAAAACACCTCCGCGGAAAGGGCAGGGGGGACCGGGTTAGCCTTCCCCCTGCACCACCGTTGAAGCCATGCGATAGGCGGAGGCCGCCTAATGGGAGCTAGGAGAACGGGGGGTGGGCTGCCCATCAACCATGCCACGGCTGAGCGGATGGAAAGTCGCGCCATTGTTTTGCAGCAGGTCGCCGGATACGCGAGCAAGTCTCCGCTCGCTTAGTGCTGACTGTCCGGGGCTCGAAGGAGACCAACCCAGCCCGCCCAGCTCTCCTCTTCCTTCCCCTTCCACAGAACAGGTGGAGCAAAATGAAGGATCTGGATACTCTTGGCAGGAAGATACTGGTTTAAGTCCCTGAGAGGGGGCGTTTCATGGGTCCCTTTCTTTTCCCCGGTGCGCGCTTCACCAAAAAGTTACACGGTCTGCCTCCAATAATCCTACATTTGCTCCGTACGCAACCCGCCTGCAAGCGGCAGCTCTTTTTGAAAAAGGGCTCCCTCAGCTTGAGTGTGTAGCGAAAGTGGGGGTGGAGCTTGGGCGTGGGGGCGAAAGAGAGGGGGAGAGGGGGCCACGCGCTTCCCTGATTGGCTGTCTGGGGGCGTGATGCCACGTCCGGCGGGGAAGCCCAGCCTCGCCGTGGAGCTTCTTTCTGTGTCTGGCTTGCTTTGCAGGTGGTGCTGCTGCCGCCGCCGCTGCCATCGCCGCTCGCCGGCTCCGTCGGACACACACCAGGCGCGCACCGCGCGCAGTTCGGCTGCCGCTGCCGCAGCCGCTCGGACAAATCTGCCATCCCAACCCGACTGGATCTCGCTCGCGCTGCCGCCGCCGCCGCCGCTCCTCCGTCGCTTTCCATCCTCAAACTTTGCGCGTGGAGACTTGCGACGTTCCCCCTTGCAATTAGCATCCTCGGCAACTCCCTCGTCTTCCTCCCTGGGCAGGACCCGAAGGATGCAACCTCGCGTCTAACCACGCATTTGCTTTGAACAAACAATCGAGATCGGTTCTTCTATGCAACCCCTGCCGCCGCCGCCGCCCTTTCCCCCTTTCTTCTATTCCTTCTTTCGGTCTCGGACTCGATCGCAGTAGCCGGCGCGCGGATTAAATTCTTTGGGATCTCCTTTGGAGCGCAGCTTCCCGAAGTGTACCCTCCACCTCGCAGCCCCCGGAGAGAAACCCTTGGCCGCTCCTTCCCCAGTTGGAAAGGACTTGACCTCGCCGGGCTCCGGTTCACTTTGCGCCTTTTCCACGCCGCCGCAGCCGCCGCTTCCATTTGCTGCTGGAGATTGTATTGTTCGCCGTCGCCCATCCCTGGGGGAGACGGAGTGGGGGCAGCTTGTTTGAAGCGGGGCGAGGAAGGAAGAGGGCGGGCGGGCGGGAGGGAGGGATGCCAAAGGGAAGCGGGGACTGAGCGATCGAGTCTCCTTCACCTTCTCGCAACCCTCTGCGTCTCGGAGCGAAGCAAAGCGTGAGACGCGGCGCCGGGGGAAGCCGGCTTGGGATCGCCCGCCCTTTCCCGAGAAGGCTGCTGCCGCCGCCGCCGCCGCTGCAGGTTCTTAGTGGGAATTTCGGCGCCGCGCGAACAGGATGCGTTTCTTCCCGTGGGGATTTTGGCTGCTGTGTGTCGCTGCCGCTGCCTCCTCGGCCCGGAGCGATGGTGGCAACAAGGCGAAGAGCTGCTCCGAGCTCCGGCAACTCTACGGGGCCAAGGGGTTCAGCCCGAGCGTGGTCCCCCAGGCGGAGATCTCGGGTGAGTTAGACGCATCTTGATTATCCCCTAGCGCTGCGCCGCGGTCGCCGCGCGACTTCTTGTCCCAGCTCCCGAAAGCCGCGTTCAGCCCCCACGCGACAGCCTAGCACCTCTTGGGCATATCCGAGATCGTCACGGAGATCCAGCTGCCAGGGGCTTGGGGAGCCCCGCCGAGGAAGAAAGCGCAGGACTTATTTTAGCTCCGTTACCATGATGCCTGAGCTTTGAAACTTGTGCAGGTGGTGGGAGAGAAGACCACCTTTGCGTATATGCAGAGTGTGGAGCCCCTTCCCCTCGAATAGTTGCAGGAAGAACTCTCTTTGCTGAGCTAAGGGTTCAGGGCAGCTTCCCTAGCCTGGCGTCCTTCGGATGTGCTGGGCTGCACTTCCCATTTTCTCCCCCTTGGCTTCTGCCAAGGGCAGGACTGGACACATCCTTGCGCTCCAGTGTTTTTCACTTAAAAACCAGAGTGCAAACCAGAGATCAGTTCCCCAAGGAAGGTACCCCCACTGGTACTGAACACACTGCATCAGCTGCTCAAGTGGGGAGGACGTGCTCTTATTCATGCAGCTTCTACAGATCAGGACCTACGCAGGAGTCTTCTCTGATGTCCAAGTCCTTGGCCACAAGTGGACTTGTGAGGGGGCAGGGGTGGAAGGCCCCCCCTGGGTTTACTTGGTAGCTCGTCCTCTTGTCTCCTCCTCTTCTTTTTTTCAGCCACAGGCACACACCACGTTTGCCTTGGAGTTAGCCCTCTCCAACCCAGGGACCTATCTGTGGCTGCCACAATCCCCAGCCACACTGGGGATGATGGGTATTGCAGTCCCAAACCAATCTAGAGGCTGCTGCATTGGGGAAGGCTGCTCTAAGTAGCAGCATTTCCTGGAACTTTAGTTTGCCCCCGAGCTGTTCTTGCCAAGCCAGGTGCCTGCCGAGGATTTGTTTGGGGAGCAAACGCTGAAATCTCTTTGTGTGGCTCTTTCTGTACATCAGCCGGTCGGTGCCGTCACCATTCCTGGTGCCCCCATTGGCTCAGCATGTGCAGCATTTGTTGAGTTTAATTTGTGGTTCAGAGGTGGTCCGGTCTTTTCTCTCTGCCCTGCCTGCCAGCCACTACTGGGTGATACTGGGATTGGTTGGTGTGGTTTTAAAATTACAGTTGTGCCTTAGCATATGGCAGACATGCTCAGGAGAAGTGTGGTGGCAGATAATGAAAAACTGTTGCGATTGGTTCCAAAGTTGGAGAACGCCACAAGGTAATAAGAGAGAAAATGGTGTGCCTCATCCTCTTTTGGGAAGGAAGCAGCTTAAAGCCCAGCTGTCAGCTGGGCTTTTTTAGAGATGACATACAAATGCCCAGCTGCTTGAAGAAGTGAACTGTAGCTGAAGATAGTGGGAACTCCTAAAAGTCTGTTGCAGAATTTAATATGGTTACTATAAAAGAAGCACTCTTCCGACATGAGGCAACCTTTTCTTTTTAAATGGAACAGTACAGTGGATTTTTAACTGCTACTGAAATGCATGAAAAAAATAAAAATAGAGGACGGCTTGTGGGAAGTTTTTCAATGAAACACAGCAATAAGGTACCTCATTAAAGTTAATCCACACATACCGTCTTTAAAATCATGCTTCAAAGTCAATTCTAACTATGCTTGCTTAGAAGGATAGTTCAGAGAGACTTCCAAGTAAGTTTGATTTGAATTACAGCCCTGCAGGTGGTTCCTTGAATACGTAACAAGTTTAGGTACTGGATCATGTGTGTGATAATTTGACACAGGGAGAACTTCAGTTCTGGTGCTTGCATTCAACACGAACTAAAGTTCTGATAAAAGAAATATGAAAAATAGGTTTCCTTCACTCAAATACTAGATAAAGATAAGCCTAGAAAGAGTGCCCCCTACAGAAATGTTTCAGTTTTCTTGTTAGCGTGCAGTTAACCGCAATAACATGTTCGAGTTTCTTTAGTGCTGACAAATGTTATTTCAGAAATAAAAAAATCTTGGGTGTTGCTTGCCAGATTTGGGCAAATACTGCCTTTGCTTTTTAACTTTCTGCAGTCGGGAAACTAGTTGCTTTCTAAGGCTGTAATCTTATGTTTGTTTACTTGGACATAAGTTCTTTAGAGGGACATACTTCCAAACAAATACACACAGGAATTGGCCTATGTGTCATGTGCCCAGAAGAAATCTTCAAGTGCCCAGAAGAAATAATTAGAATTTTTGATAGTCAACATATCTTCTTTACCCCTTTGGCCATATAAATAAAAGGATAATTTTAAACATGAGCAAAACCAGAAGTGCAATAATGTCTCATGGATAAATTTCATTTATTATTCCAGTTATAGGCAGAACACTTTTATAGGTAAGGTGGAAGCAGCAACTTTAATAGAAAACTGAAGAACCCCATAAAAATAAATGGGTGGAATAAAATAATAGTACCATAGTATTTGGTGCATGGAGGGTACAGTATATGCTCACTCATTCAGTATATCTCATTACATCTGTTCAATGTGACTGCTTAGCGGCTTTGTTATTCTGCTTCCTGCTAACTTGTGGTCAGAAATGTAGACTGATCTAAGTCAAGGTAACTTCGATCCTATTGCCCATTCTGAAATCCATAAATTGAACACGCATGTCAACTGCTTGCTTTAAAACATAGAGACCTTATATAACTGAGGAACATATTTCAGAAACCTTAATTGTGTGTCCATAGGGCTTTTGCACTGCAGAGTGATGACTAAAGATTTGGGAATCCCCTTGGTCTGATTTGTAATTGGGCTCAGCAAGCTGAGCTATTGACGCCTTCCCCACAAACATGAGAAAACAACTTGGCTTACCCTGAGCCTAATAATGAGTCCAGATGGATCCCATAGTGCACCTGGCATATAATGGACCTGGAGTATAATGGAAGCCAATCTTATTTCCAACGCTCTGCCTTATTTCAATGCTCTCAACGCTCTGCTGTGGGAGAGGAATAAAGAAAATGAGGGGAATGACCCCCCCCCCCTTCAGATGCCTCCAGTACTTACTGTGGCAGTATCCCAGATGTCACTGGCCCTGGAAGATGCACTTCTGTTGAGCCTAGTGCTGCCCGGTCATTTCCTTGCAGCAGTTCAGGGAGAGGAAGGGAGAGGTGTGGGACCCCTCACCTGTGACTGGAGCAACAGCCTGGTGCATGAGCTGTGTTCTCAGAGGCTTAAAGGTGCATGAAGAGGTGGGAGGCTGTTTAGGTCAACTTAGATTAAAATTGCAGCTATAGAAGAATTCCAGCAATGAAGCTGACACTTGTATTGAAAAGCATTATGAGCTCTCAGAGATCAAGTCCAGATTTGCAAACCTTAGCAGATATCTGCTGCAGTTTACTGAGAGCCAAGAGGCATGAGCTGGTTGGTCCTTCACGCACATGGAAGGAAGCTTCCTTCAAGGTCTGCATATTTTGGTTGGTGTTTATGGCCAGCCAGAATTTGTTCTTGGCAGCCATACAAAAGGAGTGGGATATTGATTGTGGTGCCATGCAGAATTTTGGAGGCGTTGTCAACTAAGCAGTGTGTAATTGTACCTCCTCCTCCCTGCTTCCCATTTGTCCTTGTTGCACTGAGGCTCAGCAGAAAGTGGGCAGCATCTCCCACGATCTGCCAAGCCTGGAGCAGGATGGGAGATTTCACCAGAGTCCAAAGTGCTTTCACTGTTGGACGGTGCACTTGCAGAACACCATCACTGAGGAAAATGTCAGACTTGACAGCTCAGGCTACGATCCTATTTGGAAAGTGAATGCAATGGCCACATTGTAGCTTTTTGGAGCTTATCAAAAACAGCAGATAAAAGTTACTGGTCCTGATTACTTGTTACTGCTTACCATGAAATATAACATAAACATCTCTTGTTATTCACAACTTCAGAACTGAGCCAATTGCAGAGTTCAGATGGTTTGAGGGCATAAAATAGCAGTAAAGGGGCAACATTATGAGTTTAGATAAAGGATGATTCTATTTCTGTGAGGATTTGCTAGACCCTGTGAGGAAGCTCACAGTACATGCTTTGCATTCATTTATAATATTAAGCTCGGCTTAAGATCAGCTGTCTTCAAATATTTTCTTCCATGGTTCTCTTTTACACAGCAAAGCAACTTCTTATGAATTGGGCTTGATAAATAGTTATGATTCAGTTCTGTGAGAGTATAATCATACTTTAAAATGCATTTTTATTAAATTTGGATTTCCTGTTTCAGTTTTTAAACACACTTTTCAGGGTGTACTGCCCTCACAAGGCAGCTTAAAGTACAGGTAGTCCCCAGATTATTAACACCTGGGTTATGAACAACACATACCTATGACTGTGTGGACTGCCATAAACCCTATGTGAATATCGCCAAAGAAAAGCCTTGAATATTTCTATGGAACTACATGATGCATTTGGTGACACATCATCAGTGGCCACATAGTTCCCTAGAGATATTCACAGCATTCGCTAGAGATAGAGATTTGCTAGAGATATTTATGGCTTTTCCCTAGAGATAGAGATGGCTACCCGTAGGATACTACACAACACTTTTGGTGATGAATCTTTCAGTGGCAATGTAGTTCCCTAGAGATGCATGGCTATATCGTTCTGTGGCATCTGGACTCTAGACTCCAATGGTAACCCCCCACCCTCCCCAGCAGCTCAGTCAGTCCCTGACTCTAGCACCAGGTCCATCTCTATCATCATCAGTTAATGTTAGGCATAATGTTAACTCAGTAATGTTCTAAACTAGTTTAAGATCTGTTTCTTTTATTTGTTTTTTACAGTACTGTATACCTAAACACAGACATACAGATTCTTTCTCTCTTCAGTACCTGTAGTTAATTTATTATTACTGCATTATTGTCATTATTAGTATATGCTGTATCATGTTTAAGATGTTTTAGTGAATACGGTAGTATTAAGTATTTTAAAGGTGTAGAAAGGTAAAATATATACGTATACTAAGACAATCATTTGGCTTATTCATGTGATCCAACA